ATGTACTGAGGGAAATTTAATTTGCTGATTCCAAGGATTTTTATTTTCAGATCCATCACTTAATACAAATTTTTTCTTCCGAATTTGGAAAAATGTCGATAAATCCAAGAAAACGGAATCAGTCTTTGAGCAAATATTGACTCAATTTGATCTGGAAGATGCTCCTAAAGAAGTATTGAGCAGTATTAGAAAGACTGCCAGTTTACTAAAGAAAGTGGGAGCGTATTCTCCGCACAGAAAAAAAAAAAAACATTCTAAATCTAATATAAAGATTGGTTGGAACAAGATATCAATTTAGAAGGAATTGTTATCAATTATTATCAAGAAAAGAGCAATTCATGTCCTGATGGTTCTTCCATCTTACTTAGAGGCAGACCTAAGAATGAGTTTGCAACGTTGTGTGAGAAATCGAAAAAGCGATGGGTTGCTGATCTTGTACGAAACCGGAGTTCTGAGGAGCTATTCTTCGCTGCTAATTTATCATCAGGGCCTAGCATCTCAAGAAATCAACCATCTTTATCTCTTATTCAAGCTTTAGCTTTATACTTTTTTTTTTTTATTTAATGGAATTTACAACTGTATACAAATACAACAAGTAAATATGCGCAAATATAAATAATGGCATGTACAGGCTTGAAGAGTTACTACCCAGTGGTAGCACTCTCTAAATAATTTTAAGTAAGAAGATCACGAGGCCATCTCCTTTTCAGACGCCTAGGAGGATTATCAGGAATCGAGAAAGAAGCAAGAGTGGAAACAAGCGGATTTGGATGGGACTGAAGTTTATCATGAAAGGATAGATATCTGGCTCGAGCTAAATCAGCGACATAAGGAACATTAAGGTCTTTATGAATGGTTTTATTTGTGACAAAGTATGGAGCATTAAGGATTTTACGGAGGATTTTGGATTGTAAGGATTGGATACGATAGGAATTCGATGGTTTAGTGGAGCCCCAAAGCTCAACTCCGTATGTCCATATAGGTCTTATTATTGTTATGTAGATAAGTCTTTTGTAATTAATAGAAAGTATGGAGCGTTTGTCTAGTAAGTGTTGGAGCAGTCGGAAACGTCGAGCAGTTTCTTGTCGTTTTAGTCTAGTATGAGGATTCCAAGTAAGACGTTTATCCAAATGGAGTCCTAAGTAGCGGATTTGCTCAACAGGAATAAGTGGAGTATTATTGAAAGTTACTGTAGAACAAGACGTCATAGATTTACGACGGAGGGTAAAGGTGATTTGATGGGATTTGTTGGAATTTATTTTTATTCTCCAATTTTTACACCATTTTTCAAGGCTTGTGATATGTGATTGAAGAGTTTGGGATGCAATTAAAGGATCGTTATTAACAGATAGCAAACATGTGTCATCGGCGTAAGTGGTGATGACAGTGTCAGGATGGGTTGGGATGTCAGCTGTATAAACTGTGTAGAGGATGGGACCGAGGATACTACCTTGTGGAACGCCTGCAGATTGAGCAAAGAGGGATGAGAAGAAATTATTTTGGTTTACTATGAAGTATCTATCAGTAAGATAGGAGCGGATAATGAGGAAGTATGTAGGGGGTAGGACTTTTCGGAGTTTGTACAGAAGACCCGGGTACCAGACTCGATCAAACGCCTGTTCAACGTCGAGAAAGACTCCCGTGCAGTACATACCGCGCTCCAATGCAGAGGAGACTACATCAATCACACGGTGACATTGTTGGATAGTGGAATGCGATGTGCGGAATCCAAATTGGTGATCAGGGATAATATGATTAGAGTCTAGGATGGGATACAGGCGTTTTAGGATGAGTTTTTCCAGGATTTTGCCCATGATAGGTAACAGAGAAATAGGACGGTAAGAGGATGGGTGTTCGGGTGGTTTTTTAGGTTTGTGTAACATTTTGACAATAGATATTTTCCAAGAATCAGGGAAATATGTGGATCGGAGCACAAGCTTTATACTTAGATTTAGTTTTAGAAAATATAATATTTTGCGTTTAATTGTAAACAGCATTCATCCAAATACTTTCTCTGTAATTATAATTTTAAATAAAATCGAAATCAACAATTACCCGGCAATATAGATGTGTCTGATAATCATGCTGCAATAGATTTTGCAGAAATTACTTAATCAAACGGCAGAATATATGAACGGGTCGTTTGGCAAAGGTTCGTATGATTCTCTAAAACTAATATGTAAATCGGGATTCGATGGAAGCTCTGGACGTAGCATGCATAAACAGAAATTGCGGACTGCTCAAGATTCTCAAAAATGAATTTTTTTTTTTTTTATTGCTCTTGTTCCTTTGTAAATTGTTGACGACACAGGTAACATTAAGTGGAAAATTCCAGCTTCATTATGTGTACACTATTGTCAATCTATGGAATTTATTTTTGCAAAAGAGTCACCTACATTGATTTCACAAGAAAAGGATAAATTAATTGGTGACTTGGTAGATAATAATATTGATATTGGCGACTATACTATCAATATTACTTATGAAATGTTTTTTTACTATGGTGAACTGGAGTATATGTAATGTAATTAGTGATAAGAATTTCAATCAAAAATGTTATATTTGCGGATGTTCTCCTAAATTCATAAATGTACAAAAAACATTTCAGTCCAATGAAACGTTTTACATTTTCGGTCAATCATCATTACATTGTTCAATATGATCATTTGAATGTTTGTTAGATATATCCTATAGTTTAGACTTTAAAGAAATGTCAAGTTAGAGGAGAATAATGTAAAAATTTGTTAACAGAAAAAACATATGGTATCCGAAATGAGTTTAAAGAAAAAATAGATCTCATAGTAGATAAACCAAAAGCTGGTTTTGGTTTAAGTGACACCATTCCAAGATTTTCGAAAACGCACCTTTGAGCTCATCTATTACTGGAATTGATGTTAACTTGATTTCACATTTATCAATAATACTTAGGGTTATTGCTATTGGAAAACAAAATACAATTGAATAAATTAAAGATATTAATAGACAACACACAAGATATATATTTGAAAAATTATGACTGGTATTATATGCCTGTATCATTGCATCAATTGTTAATTCATGGTCTCGAAGTGATTTTATCATTCATAATTTCCACAGGTCAAATGTGAGAAGAAGCACTGGAGTATAGGCACAAAGAATATTCGATGTGTCCGCAAAAATAATGCCGGAAAAATTCGCGAATCAAGGCAAATAATGATATTATGACAATGATGCATCTGACCCTGAGCTTTATGGAGAAAAAATGTAAAAAGGCAAAGCAAAATCAGTCCAGACATTAATCAATATATAATATAGGATGACATTAATAATCAAATAGACATTGGTTTTTGATATAAGTTTACATTCTGACGAATCCATAAAGGATTCAGACTCTGAATAAAGAAATTATTTAATAATTTTATATAAAATGATAAAATATTATTATTCTATGGCAATATTACTATAAGTATAATTTACTACAATACTGCTACTACATTATATGCTACAGCTATATTACATTTATATTATATTTTAAAATATTGTTATAACTAATATTATTTATATTAATATTACAAATATTACAATAAATATTATTATAGTCGCATAATATACATTATTGTACATTTGCTACCTTGTTTTGAGTTGAAATCAATTAATAAAAATGTTTATTTGAAAATATTGAAAGAAACTGAAAAATTCCAAAACTCAGCACTCAGAATAATAACAGGTGCTTCCATAAGTCTATACCCATCTTAGCTATGCAGCTACAAGCGAACGTCGAGCCTATAGCCATGCGTGGAAAATTCACTTCAATAAGTCTCTACAAACGACTACATAGGCTTCCTATAGAGTACTGGTCCAAGAATAAGTCAGTATCAAAAATAATTGTAACACAAGTTAATTTTTTAGAGAAACCTCAACACCATAAAGATAAAATAAAGTTGCTCCCCGCTCAAAGAAAACCACTGTCTCTAATACTATCCCAGTTTTCTGTGAAAACAGCGCCATATAACCTCAACCGTATTAAACTCTTTAAAAACGACCAAGTAATACCAGAAGAACTAAGATGCTTGGCTCTTGAAACGATTGCTGAATGTTATCCAAGTCCTCCGTGGGTTCATGTGTACACCGATGGGTCTGCCAAAATAGCAACACACAATGAAGGGGCAAGTGCACACTCTCAACTATTTGCTATTTTGAAACCGGTTGGAAATTTTCCAAATTTCGACAGCAAAATAAGAGAAATTTTATTGACACTGCAAGCCTTGTCATACTTAGATGCCAAAAATCTCATATTGTTTGTCGATTCAAAGGTGACTATTCTCGCTGTGTCACAGTCAAATGACTCTTTTGTTCAGGATATTCTGAAGTGCAAAAAGAACATAGAGGAACTACTTCTTCAAGGAACAGAGGTATTCTTTCAATGGTAACCAAGTCATTGTGGTCTCCATGGGAAATAAATGGCTGATAAACTCGCCAAGGAGGGATCCACATTGAACCAGAAAATGAAGTATCATATCAGAGAGGCAAAAAAAAAAAAAAAAATAAGGCAGAAATAAACAAAAAAGGAAATAATTAGTGATTTTTGTCTATTATCCACATTACTTGGTTACACTGTGGAAATAAACAGCTGTGGAAATAAACAGCAACAAAATAAAAATAATGAGGAGAGAAGAGGGGAGATCGAGTACTTCGATTAAAGGGAGAGGAACTCGAGCACATTAAAGACTTTAAGTACTTTTTTCAGTGTCTACATATTATTACTTTAATCACTATATATATATATATATTATTAGATTCTATATTTAGTTAGTTTTTATACATTAACATACTGTTTAGGTTTTATCACAAAAATCGATGTTTTTCTTTACCCACTTTTGATTTTTTTTTCTTTTCTTGAGGTTTGCTCGATCTTACTATATATATGTATGTGAGAATATTTGTAATTTATAAGTAAGTATTTTTTTTTTTAAGTGATTTACATACTATTATTTAAATTACTGTATATATAGTTAGAATCTTTATTAAGTTAGTTTTTGGCCAGATGTGTATTTTCTGTTGTATTTGTTCATTATTGTTCTTCTAAGAGGACTTAGTCTCAGAGAAAGTTCAATTTTCTTTTCTATTTTATTCTATCTGGGAGCCCATCTAAATGAGAACAGATGGATAGATATCGAAATCAGAGAAAGAATGGCCAGCTAATGCTTTTATTTGCCTAAAACAAGCTTCTTAGAGAAAAACTTCTTATCTTTTCAAACTAAGTAATCAAACAAAAAATTCTTAGAATTATATATTTAATAAAATTAAATTAAAAATAACAATATCATATTTCTAATCATATTTTACAATGTTTAGACTATCTGTTGATAGTCTACTTCAACTTATTTATAATAAATACAAATTTAAATTATAAGAAAAAAAATATCAAGTTCTTTCTTCAACTTCCAGCTTAGGAGGATTTTCCACTTCTACCATAAGACAAGCCTTATATTTAATATCTTCGAATCGTAATCCTTTTTGAGCTGGTCTAAGTTTAAGTCTTCTAATTATTTTTGACAATGTAATTTTCATCAATGCTGTTGCATAATACATGCCTGAAAAAAAAAAGTATTTTGTATAAGTGTTCTGAAGACATAATTGTTAAATATGTATGTGAAGTAACATTTTGTTATTAGTAGTAACTAACTGGACTGAAGTAGTAAACAAAATGTTACTCTAATACGATTGTTAGTAAATTGATTATTTAATTGCAGCACAAAATATTTTTAAAAGAGAAATATTTACTGTATTGATAATATAATACCTAAATATTGGAGTAATGAGGCCGACAGACTAATATAATATGAATACCATTGTATAGTTTTTACTAAGGATGGGCGATAGATGATAATACTAATGATAAATCGATAGTTTAAAACTATCTTCCACATAGCCACAAATGATATTAAAATTTTATATACATAAAAGAATAATTTTTATAACACTCTTCTTTATTCTTCATACCTTCATTCTTCTACTCCTTTATTGATTATTTATTGATTACTATATGTGGTGATAATATAACAGTGTAAAAGTTAAATGTTTGATAATGCAAAACGGTTATTGTATAATGGAAATATGCCACATTAAGAAAATAAATGGATTGATGTGTGAAGGTGTGTTTAAAAATATTCTTATCAATATATAAACTGAAACTAAATTGGACAAGAGGATGCCTTCAAGATAAAAATTACTTCAATCACAAATTACTTTCTTAGAAATATTTTTACAACACCAGTTGAGCCGATGGAAAAAATGCTACATTTACATCACCTTTTTTTATTTATAAAAATATAATTATAAAATATAAAATGATGCCATTACAGTTTTACTATATATTAAACTAGGTGTTATTATCAAATTCAGATCAATATCTGCAATTCAACAAATGAAGATATTTACCTGGGCAGCTTCTTATACCAATTCCAAATGGTGCATAAGAATATTTTATTGCCCCACTTTCTTCCAGAAAGCGATCTGGGTCGAAATCTTTGGGATTCTTCCAGTATTTTGGGTCCATTCTCAGGTACCTAGATAGGAACACTATATTAGTACCTCTAGGTATTGTTATTCCATCTGTAAATAAAAATATACTACATTATTATATCGCATAGATTTGTTTTAATCATCTTCATATATTATTTTTCAAAGATATTGGGTTTTTCGGTTTCGCTATATCTTCATTAATTCGAAATCAGATTCAATTGTTGATCCCTCATTTTGAAGATCTTATCCTACAGGTGGGAAAAACAGATCATACCTCCGAAATTTCAGGACAAAAATTATTAAAAAAAAAAAAAGTGTATTGTCACATAGTTAAAAAGTTATACATTTATGCTTTATTACATCTAAAATTTTCACTTTAATAGCAATAGCGCTCTCATTAAATTCTCAACAAAACAAGTAAAAATAAACTGTTATTTTAATTAGTAAGCATGTTGGTTTGAAACATGAATAAAGTTTTTAATTAATTTTCTTTTCCTTGGTCGTTGATTATTTTATTTCCTTATTGTTTTTATTTTTTTTCATTTGTTTGGTCAAACTATTTTTCGGTACTAGTAAATGAAAAAAAAAAAGTAATACCCCCAAAATTTCAAGAAACCCAGTTATTAAGAAAAAAAAACTATTTGCACATACTAAACAGTCTGTTGTAATTAGTACAAATGTTTTGGTTTATGATTATGAATCATTGTAATCATAAAAATATATTATTTATTCATTCCTCCCTTGCCTACCTTTTTGGCTACACAGAATTTTGCAGGGATGGCATATCACAGACATGCATGCCATTCTTGCCATTAAACGAGAAATATTTAGCAAATTTTTTTTTTTTTAAGCTCTTCTGTTTCCTTTATTTTATGTTTACCATATCAGTCTGGCGGCCTTCCACGGGCAGGTTCTCTTCTTCCTAGATTGAAGTGTGCCGGGCCCAGCGCAGCTTTCCACCCGTACACAAATTCTTTGTAATCTTGCAGCTAGTTCTGCTCCGTCACTAACTGGGGAAATACATCCTCCGTGAGGCCATACAGTCCAATTTTCCTCATCATTCTGGCCCTTAGTTCATCAAGTGAGGTGCAGGGGATTCAATACTATGCAACTTGCCATGGAAACCCACATGCCCTGTAAGGAATTGAGAGACCCAGTAGTCCGGAAGAACCCACTCCGTAACCAAGCGACTTTGGACAGTGGAGAAATATTTTACATATTAAGGTCGCTCCTTTCGAGGTAGTTACTCACCGCCGTTTCCACTCATCTGTGCTATTCTCTGTGATAATCCTTTTCCATTTTCTTGGGTCTTCTTTAATAAACTCCAATAGCTGATACACTCCTTTACTCATGCAGGAAGTATGGTATAGAACAGAAATTAGCAAGGTGAAAAGATGTACTCACTCCTTTGCCCTCCTCCCTCCGAATAGATGACAGTTCGAACCGGTGCTGATTCTAACTCGAAGTTGCTAAGGCAATGCCTTAACACTCTTCACCACTACGACTTCAAATATGATATTTAAAATTATAAATAAGAGAATGAAATATTAGGTATGATAAAATATTACTTACTTATATTTATATTGTCTGATGCCAATTTCGCAAAGAATGGAGGAGCCACATGTCTCAGGGATTCTTTTATAAACCTTAAACGAAAAGGACAATATTATATCTCAAAATCTAGTGCAGGAATCTCCTGGAGTCTTGCTTTTCTTGATTGGACCATACAAGCCTGACTCGGAGTTCTCTGCCTGAGTGTAAATATAGTTTATATGTATATTTTTTTTCATTTACTTATTTTTATGTTGTTTTATTTATATTTATTGTATATACTTTTTGGTTTTTATTCAGTTGTTATTTTGCTTATGTTTATTTTTTATTTTATGTATATATAGTGTAAATGTAGTCTTACCTTACTATAAACATTGTTATATTACTCAATAAATAAATAATTATAAAAAAATAATAAAGTATTGATTTTCTTAAATGATTTCTGATTTCAACAGAAACGACCCTACACATAGACTGTATGCGGTCGTTATTATTTAACTAAAAATTAAAATATACTAACCCTTATAATAGAATAACATTTTTCAAGAAATAACAAATATTCATTGATCTATACCTATCAAGAAATGCCATCTGTTTTAAATCATCCATTGAAGGGTCTCTCTTATCATTACCAAATATTTCATATTGTTCTTGCCAAGCTCTTTCTTGAATCTCAGGTAGAACTGCTAAAAATATTATTGAGCTGGATAATGCAGAAGCGACAGTTTGCGAAGACTGTAAGCAAAAATTACATTATCAGCAAAAATATTAACAAATTTAATTGAATTTGAGTACGAATAATTGGTAATTGGTTGACTGTCGTGGATAATGAAGGGAAGAATAGTTGGGGTGGTCAGTCAAAAAGGAAGGCAAAAAATAAATGATAATATTTATTTTTTACATATGCCTAGGTTTCGACCTAAAGTTCAGGGCCAAGAAAATAACCAGATAACAAGGTATGAGAAACATAAGTAGTGATGGTAAAAAAAAAATAATAAAAAAAATAAAATAAATAAATATAAAGTAAAAAGAGTATTTATTCTCCCTGCAACACTTAAGGAGACAGGTAGTACTTTTTTTATTTATTTCTTATTTCAGCTTTCTCAATTTCTTTCCTCCTCCCTTTCATTCCTTTTCTCTGTTTTTAACTCTTTATTATATTATACATTGTCTGCACATCTTGATAGACTTTACAATATCTCAATTTTCTATCTAACTACTCCATTCTCAATGTTTTAATTTTACTATTTATTTTCATTTCTTATATAACTTCATATTTCTTTTTTATGTTTTACATTTTATTCTAAGATTCCCATTGTAACACTTATGTCACCCTTTTTGATTATGCTTACTTCATCATTCCACACTCTGTAACGGTTATTATTATTTATTTCTTAGTTCTTAGTCATTCTTCTAACGATTTCTTTTTACTTTATATTTATTATTTTTTTTTTTTTTATTATCACTACTTATGTTTCTCATACCTTGTTATCTGGTTATTTTCTTAGCCCTGATGAAGGCTTGAACTTCTGGTCGAAACGTCGGCATATGTAAAAAATAAATATTATCATTTATTTTTTGCCTTCCTTTTTTACTGACCACCCCAACTATTCTTCTCTTCATTGAGTACGAATAGTTTTTAACTCTACTTTCTGTGACCAAGGACCTTACAAAGATATCGATATGTTTTATAAAATATATCTATAATTTTATATTATTTGGCGACCACCAAGCTGGATTCAGAAAAGGGAGGAGCACGCGAGACCAGATCTTCATCCTAAAACAAGTACTCGAAAAACGAAACGAAGTAGCTCAGGACGTCTACGGCCTATTTATTGATTTCAAAGCAGCCTATGATTCTGTGGACAGGAGCTGTCTTTATAAAATCATGACTGAACTGGACTGCATCCGGCAGGCAGCCTGGGACGGCGGAAGAGGACGTTGGCTAAAAAGAAGAAAGAGCTGTGTGCACAGCTGAAAAAAAAAGAAAAGAAATGTAATTGGTCTGAATGCAGCAGTGAGTTGTAACGCACGCGCTGCTACTCACTGCTGCATAACATCCGTATTGCCTTACCGGCTGGGTAGGGTGTAAATAAAATAATAATAATAATAATAATGACTGAACTAGGAGTTCCCGGTAAGTTGGTGAGATTGACAAATGATCCCTAATGTAGAGTCCTAATACAAGGAGAAGTACCTGAAGCCTTCAAAGTCCGAACGGGCTTACGGCATGGAGGTGGACTATCATCGATGTTGTTCAACTTAGCCCTGGAGAAGGTAATAAGAGCAACATCATAGAAGAATGGAGGGGTCCATATCGGAATGAATCATAACATCTTTGGATACGGAGATGATATTTGGAGATAAGCTGTCTTTGGAAGTAATCAAGAAGACATTGAGAAACTTGCTACAACAATGATAAGAGATGCAGAGCAGATCGGCCTACAAGTAAATGAAGACAAAACAAAATATATGATAATAAGTCGAAAATTCCACCCTAATCTGCGAAGAACGAAAATCATTCCCTAGAGTAAAAAAATTTAAATACTATGGATCCACAATAACTTCAATGAAATGACCAGCGTATGCCTAGCGCAAACAGAGCTTTTTTCTAACTCTCAAAGGTATTGAAATCTCAAATTAAGGATGTGCAATAAAGTCAGTTCTAATATATGGCTGTGAGATCTGGACATTAACCAGCACCCTAGAAAAAAGTGTTGAAAGATTTGAGAGAAAAATCCTCCGCACGATAACCTGACCGATCTGGGATTAGAGTACTAACGCATGGAGAAGAAAGACCAATAAAGAACTTTTTACAGAAAGTGGACAATCAATATACCATAAGATGAAGGCACGGAGGCACAGGCAGATTACTGGGGAGGGAAGGCTTTCTGAAGCCCCCCACCAAAATGGTAAAATATAACCATTTTTTATGAAAAAAAGTTATCTCTGAAAGTATTATTGAATATTTAATAGTTGACCGTTGCATTATAAACCTGCCCTTGCCCATGGTTTTCCAGTTCTAAGTGAAACCCCTAGCTGAACAAACTTGTAAGTCTCTAATTTTATTCTTCCATTTTATTTACTTAATTTTTTTTTCTCTCCGCATTCTTTTATGTCTATTATTTCATATTACATCCTTTTTTCTTTTCTTTCAATCACTCCTGTAGATCTGTATAAGTATATTCCCATTTGCATTTATTATATATTACACTACAACAATTGTTAGCATCTATTTACTTTAGTTTAGGATCTTGTTACTTAGCTTACCTTGTTCATATTTTAATGTACTTACGTTTTATAATTTTAATAAGCTTATTCACATTGTTTATAAATTTTGTCTAAATATTATGTAACAATTTTAATAAGCTTATTCACATTGTTTATAAATTTTGTCTAAATAGTATGTAACTGTCACAATTCTCTATCTTTTTGTATCTTGTCCGTTCTAGCCCTGAAGAAGACTTGCAAAGTCTGGTCGAAACGTCGGCTTTCAATAAAATAATTTTACCACTATTTAGCCTATTTATGACCGCCACCCCGGACCATCTCCTTCCTTTAAAAGTATTATTGTTCGTCTAATTACATTTAATAGTACTTAAAGAATCACTTAAACACCTAGTTTCTTTCTTTCTTCCGAAGTAATTATCCTGATATATACATACAAAAAAAAAAATCTTTCGGGCAGAAGCCCCCTGCCTCCCTAAAATTTAATCCTTGATCCATTAGTACACGGAGTAGCTCGTAGCATTCAATCTGGAAGCCTCTATGTAACAATGAATGCCTCAATAGAAGACAAAAGACCAAGTGGAAGGCCAAAAATCAGATGGATAGATAGAATCAACAAAGATGGAAGAGAGCTGTGTGCAGATAACTGGAAAGAAATAGCTCAAGACAGGCAGAGATGGAGCAGGCTTGTTAAGGCGCCAAAAGATCTATATTGTCTATCTATATCTATGTAATGCCATCAGAAAAAAAAATCTATAATTTTGTCTGATATTATTTTTATTGAAAATTTAATATAAAAACGAAATTCCGAAAAAAAAATTAATGACGTCAAGTTTAACAGTCTATAAACGACAAAAAGTTTCTGGACGTAGACGAGAAGTGTGATGTGATCGTTTTTGAACCGATCGTTATCTAATAAGATCCATGAAGATATTAATATCCAATAATAATCCGAATTAACCACGGCTTGTATTGTAAGTATTGTTACATAACCTGTCACAAGAAAGTTAAGCGGTACTTTTTTCTGTAGTTTCTTAGAAGTTTATGCGCATGCGGGTTGTGGGTATAGTTTTGTGGCTATAGAATATCGATAGTTATTAGAGTTGAAATTCATCGAATAATATAACAAAAAGTAATTAAATAATGAATTGATCTTTAAAAAATATTTCATATGATATGCCCAATAGTCGCTAAAAATCACTTGCAAAGCTCAAGCAGATTTAAAATAATGAGCAAAAAAAAAAAAAAAAAAATCCTAGATTTTCTATTCAGAATCGAGAATTATCAACCATATTCCCATACTAGAATATGGAAATCACAACCTTGCATTGATCGAATAATCACAGTAACATCACCTCAAGATAATATTATTCAAAATTTTATATTTTTAAGTGTAATAAAATGAAAATCTCAATACTTACTGTTGCGAAAATTTCCTGTATCTCGGTTTTTAATTCCATTGGATTCCATTCTTTTTTGGTTCCATTACATTTAATAGATCTTGATATCATTTGAGTTAAAATAGACTGTTCTATATCAAAATAAAAAGCAAGGGTGAGAAAAAATATTAAAATATAGTTAACAATACAAAACAAATTACAGTGTGAGTCAGGGCCATCGTATATATTGTAGGCGCAAGGGAAAAAAATTTCCCAGGTGTCACTCAGACTCTTCAAAACCCTTAGCCATTTTCTCATATTGTGAGTTACATAACTAAACATACGTTTTAACTTCCAACAATGAATAATAAATTTCGAATCAAGCTTTTTCTTAAAAAAGCACTGGAAATGAGATTAGAAATATAAGTTTCTAATTGACAACTATTCGTGTATGAAGGTATGAAAAAGATGAAAAGGAATAAAAAAGTAAATGGAGTTTGGACAAAAATCGCTCTTTTTAAAAGACTAATGTGGTTTTATTTAATGATTAATATTGACTAATATTGTTAATATTTTTTCCAGATTATTGGCGCCTTATATGACCCAGTTTCTCAATACAGAAGACGGCATTGACTAATAATTGAATAAAGGAGAAAAAAAGATAAATGCTTATCTGGGTCAAAAATGAATCACTGGAAATACTCGTCAGAAGATATACGTAACTTTTCCCAAAGGAAGTTGGGAACATTTGAAAATATACCAATTTGAATCATTTATTCAAAAATCGAATTTATTTCAGCATCAGTAAGATACGTTTCCATTATTCATCTGTAACTTCTCAGAGCGTTTGTTTTGGCTAATTCGTCACCAGTGATTAATATCTGACCAACTCTCGAGTTTCAGTACATCTTCCTCTTCGCCGTCTTCTTGTTCTCTCGGATTAAGGACCGTTACCATGGATTTGGTCCACACTTACTAGATCCTAGAGACTATATCAGTTAACGGTGGAGGATATATTTTTATCAAATCAAATTAAACCTATAACACGCAGTAACCTTTTTTAGAGGAATTGGGGGTTATGGAAAATGTTCTGCTGCTCTCCTCTGTCGATCACATCACCAGAACCCATCAGCAGCATCAACGAATATTCCTAGTGTTCTCATGGCGCCCATCCTCAAAAGACAAGGAACTATCATTTGCACTTGGCGGCCGTCCAATGAGCCACATTGACAATATAAGAGGTAACAGATGTAAGCGTGATGTGTTCTTGAGATAAAGGTGAGAGTCCTGTGGAACTGATGTACGAATGATTGGCTCCTGTGTCAATCAGCTGGAATATTGATTTTGTCTATTCTTAGTGTAACGAATAACCTCTCTTCCGCTAAAGACATAGTAGAAATGTTGTTGAGCTTTTCAGATTTGAGGTCTCTAGTCGAGGAAACCAGGGTTAGTAGCGATCTCCTTATGCTTGTCTGTTCTCGGTTTCATCTTACAGTTTGGGCAATATTTCTTGGTGATACCACGAGTGCCACGGTGTCCCGTTTGAAGGCAATATTTGTCCTAAATCAAGGAACTCCAAACTACGGTCCACCAGCTTTTGATTGTTGTTTCTGAGTTTCTTTGATTACATGATAAAATTTGAATATGTGAAATTTAGTAAATTACTCATAAACGAGGCTATTACAACATTTACTGCATGTCTCTTATAAAGCTTGTGTAATGTGTAGAAGTGTCATTTATGGAATACGATTTTTTTTTTTTATCACATGCCATGGTATGCGAAACTTAGTTGATGTCTCAACGTGCCCCGCATGTCAAACCGTTTGTAGATCCCTGTCCTAAATAACGTCCTGCTCTAAAGACTTACATACATACATATGTGGCGCGACATCCCGTTACCGATACTGGGCCTCCTCCAAGAGCCTCCGCCAGTTGGCTCTGTCTTCTGCTGCAGCTCTCCAGTTCCGTACACCAAGCAGGGTTCTCGCATCATAGGCCACGTTGTCCAACCATCTCTTCCTCGGCCTTCCTACCCGTCTTGCGAGGTGCAGCTCCTCCATCATTATTTTCTTGTGTATATTAACGGTGCTCATTCTGGCCACATGCCCTACCCACCTTAGTCTGGCCAGTTTAATATACGTAACTACGTCGATGTCTGTATAAAGAGAACTGAGCTCCCTATTTTTTCTTTTCATCCAGACATCACCGTCCTTTACTGGACCATAAATCCTTCTGAGGACTCCTCGCTCGAACACACTCAGCTTCATTTCATCACTTTTCGTCATCGTCCAAGCCTCTGAGCCATATGTCAAAACAGGCCGAACAAGGGTCTTGTATAGAATCAGCTTGGTGTTCTTTGCGAGACACCTACTTCTTAAGTTTCGTTCAAGTCCAAAGACACATCTATTGGCAGCCGAGATCCTTCTCTGTATTTCTTGAGCCATGTCGTTTTTGCTATTTATTTCAAACCCAAGGTATATAATGCTTTTTACTCTCTCGAACAGAACCTACCTCAAATGGAGAGTTCAGATCCACCTCACCACCAATTCTCATATACTTAGTTAATGACTTAGCTTATCCTAAATTCCTGGCTTCATTTAATTTCTTTTAGTTTTCTATTCTCAACAATCTAAAAACATTCCATTAACTTTAACTCCAAAGTCATATATAACACTTAAAGGTACCGTTGCTTATTAATGCTTTAATAATATTGAAGTTGAGCCAGATAAAAATTATAGCCATTAATTTATTACTTTTGTAAAGCATTACTTATAAAAGTTTACAATAAAATAAAATAAATTAAATAACTATTTTTACCTGGTAGATAACACTGTTCAGACTTGGATTTTCTATCTATCTCTTCCACAACCTAAATCAATATATAATGTATTAAAGAGCGCCATTATAGCGGCACTTAATTTTATAGTGTATTGTGAAGTTTTAATAATAATATTAGATTTACCACATTTCGCAACTCCTTAATTTTTTTGAAGACTATTTCATCTATCCGTTTCAGTATAGTTAACACAATTCCTGATAATCTGGGGTTTGCTAGAATAAATGATCCTATATCCAAGAGACTGAAAAAAAAGTTTTATTTATTCTTTCTCTTTGGATACAGTGAAGAACTTTAAAAGAAAACGTCTGGATATTTAGAGAAGCTAAGGTGTTATAGGTGTGTGATAACTAGACAAAACAAAACTGAAGAGGAAATTTAGGTTAGGTTGAAGGGTGATGTGTTTGAGTAGTTCGCTAAAGGCTTTTTTGGGCCAATAATTGAATCGATTTTGTTTGAGGGCTCAAATTATTCCGTGATATCTCTTAAGTGTTTTGAAACAATTTGAGCTAAAAATTCTGACACGTTATTAAATAAAACGTGTTTAATAAATTTGCAAAAAGCTTTGTAACTAGTGTTGCCGAGTCTTGGTCTGGAGCATTAAGTCTTGGTCTTGCGTATGAGTCTCGCAACATTCTTGCAGCTAGCTATTAGCCTATTACTATAGAGATATTACTGTATTTTTCAGACTAATAGGCCCGTGCGAAAAATTCAATAAAAATAATGCGAAAAGTAAAATAATGCAACGTATCAAAAGATAAAGAAATCAATTGTTACTTTATCGATAAATATAATCGACAAAGAAAACAAAAATTAATTTAAATCTTCATTAATGTTTGGAAACAACATGTTTAAAAAGTTCAATAAGCGGTATCTTTGATAAAAATTGTCCGATTTTTTTTCCTTTTGTGGAGAATTTAGTAATCTTTTATATAATCATGGGCATAAACAAGAAAAAGGTGTGTAATTTTTTTAGTTTGTTTGTTTTCTTTCATAACTTGTTTGCCTGAATTTTCGGAGTGATTGGACTATTTTTCCCGCCTGAAGGAGAAGGAAGCCTTCTCGGTAAATCGGTTGCTCAATTTTGAGATTTGGTCATGAATTAACGATAATATGGCTTGCCGATCAAAAACACCATCGATAAATAATATACACTCCTCCTCTCTCGATGATAGTGGCCTCAAGTTGACGAAATAAGACATGTATTCAATGAAACTACTGCAATTAACGTAAGGTTGTGTGGATGCGAACCCAATGCCTTGTGCTATCTCGAAAATAGTACGTTTTTGGTCTTAAAAATGCAGGATCCGATAGTTCCGGAGGGACTATTCGGGTCTTGCTGTACGCATCAAAATCTTCAAGGTCCAATTTGTCCCGTATCAATTCTACAGACCTACCACCGTTCCTGTATTGAAGAATAGCAAAATATTTGTATCGACTTTATTTATTTTAGAAAGAAAAACAAAAGTGTAGAATACAATTCGCTAACCCCCCGTGAAATTCTGAATCCAACGGTACCCCATTCATAGTATTTGAGCATGACAGGTGCTTATATTTGGTACAAAACTGATTTCGAGCCTTACTGTAATAATATATGTGGGGATGTGGTGACGAGGATAGTGGTAACCAAGCCCGAATTAAAAATCGGAAGATTTAAATGCAAAAATGTATTGATTATACCAATTCTTTACATATAGTAACTAAAATTTTCAATTATTAGTAACTATTTACCTTAATTTTTATTTAAAAAAAATTTTTTTTTACCAATCTTGTCTTGGTCTTGCAACAGTCGGCGGTGTAAAGACCAAGACCGATTTTGGGCAACACTATTTGTAACGCTGTTTGAGCGCACGGCTGAATTGATTTTTAAGTTTGTGGGATCAAATTATTCCGTGATATCTCTTAAGTGTTCTGAAATAATTTGAGCTAAAAATATTTACCAGTTATTAAATAAAATGTGTTTAATCAATTTGCAAAAAGCTTTGAAACATTGTTTGAGCAAACGGCTGAATCAATTTTTAAGTTTGATGGCTCTAATTACACAGTTAAATCTCGTTAATGTTTTGAAACTATTTGAGCTCAAAATAGATAAGATAAAAATGTATTATAGTTTAAGTATCTTAATTATAAATTGATTTGAAATGATAACAGATGATCACTTCCTCGACACCATGTTAAAGTAACGAATAGTCAACGTTAAAGAGGCTCATATTAGATACTTTTACATGGTGCCGCGACGATATGTTATGAAAATGATTTGTTAATATTTTAAAAACTAAAAACATTTATTTATTTATATTTTATGCAATTTGCACATGCGCGGCTGCGTATCTAGCAAATTTGTTATGTTTGTTTTGTCTTGGTGTAATTGCTTGATTTGGTTTTTATTGATGTAGCTGGTCTCTTGGCCATTTTCTTGTTAATCTGTGTTGTTCAGGTAACAGGGAGCAGGAGATAGAAAGAACGAGATGATTGGAGTGATTTTGGGTTGAAGAATGAAATGGAGTGTATTTGTCGTGGATGTAAGATATTACTGTCGTTGTGTATAATAGTATTTGAAATGTACCAAGGTGTGTTAACAATTTTTCGTAAAATTTTTGATTGTGCTGTTTGTATTTTGTTTATGTGTGTTTGTTTTGCTGAACCCCAAAGTTCTGTTCCATATGTCCATATTGGTCTCAGTAAGATGTTATAGATCAGTCGCTTGTTTCGTAAGTTAAGTGAAGATCTGTAGTCCAGAAGATGTGAAAATTGGCTATATTGTCTAGTAAGTTCTTGTATTTTTAAATTCGTATGTATGTTCCAAGTAAGTATTTTGTATAAGTAGAGTCCAAGGTACACTAAAAACATAAATTAAAAAAAACAATTAAACTAAAAACATAAATTTAAAAAAAAAATATTTTAATTAAAAAAACAAACATCGAATACATAACTTGGAAAATTCCATCCCCTCTAAGATAATGTACTTCCATATCAACTCAAACATATTGGTAGATTGACCGGGAAACTGAGGTTTATGAATATTTAAATACGGTGATAAATACGGTAGTAATCGGGGTCCTAACTCATTCTGAACGAAACTGAAGACACTTAAGGAAGTTGATATATATCGGACGAAATTTATTTGTTAGTAGCTGTAATATGTAGAGAAAAGCACCCGACTATTAATTATTACACCTAGTTTAAATATTCGTAAATGTCAATTTCTCCATGAATCTACCAAGATGTTATAATATAAATGGGAGTCCATTCTCTTAGAGTGGATAGAATTTCCCAATTTTTGTAGTCACTTTTTTTTTTTAATACAAATATTTTTTTTGCAAAATATAATTACTGTAAAGCCACGGGAAAAAAATCTAGCGCTGTAATTTTAAAAATTGAATGGTTTGTGAATTAAAATAGGAGAAGGAAAATGTAATCCTTTTGAAGTTTACCCGCAAATAAAAGATTTCGCCATAGTCAAAAAGATAAAGAGAAATTATAATAAAAGAGAAAGAAAAAGTCAGTTGATCAACGCTTGATTTCTTCCTTGACCTATAATCAGTATTTGCATCAAGTTGTATATAATATAAGTTTTAAATCTTACACAGTCATTAAGTTGGTAATATGGGGGTCGTACGCTAAACTGGTTTCAACACCAATAAAGGTTTCTGAAAAAAAAAAAGGTACTTATTAATGCATTACATTAAATTAAATAACCTAGGAGAATTATTTAAAACTGGAGGAAAATTCACAGACCTCGTTCTCTGATTATGACCTAACAACTTAATTTTACCTCTAATGTTTTTATTAATTTTTATTGTAAAATAATTATTATGCGAATTTAAGCCAAGACATTACTTATTTGTTTTTAGAATAAAAATATTTGAAAGCTAGTGTAGTGCACAAAACAAAAGAGTTAATTTATGTGGCAGTGAATGCGCATTAAGGCAGTGTAAAGAGAGAGATAGAGTCAGATGTTTTTAGAAGATGGAAGGGAACAGTGATTGGAAAAGGTGAAGAGACCTACGTGCGTTGGAGGAAACATTAGTTCTCTCTCTCTCTCTCTCTCTCTCTCTCTCTCTTCTCTCTCTCTCTCTCTCATCTCTCTCTCTCTCTCTCTCCTCTCTCTCTCTCTCTCTCACTCTCTCTCTCTCTCTCTCTCTCTCCTCTCTCTCTCTCTCTCTCTCTCCTCTCTCTCTCTCTCTCTCTCTCTCTCTCTTCTCTCTCTCTCTCTCTCTCTCTCTCTCTCTCTCTCTCTCTCTCTCTCTCTCTCTCTCTCTCTCTCTCTCTCTCTCTCTCTCTCTCTCTCTCCTCTCTCTCTCTCTCTCTCTCTCTCTCTCTCTCTCTCTCTCATCTCTCTCTCTCTCTCTCTCTCTCTCTCTCTCTCTCTCTCTCTCTCTCTCTCTCTCTCTCTCTCTCTCTCTCTCTCTCTCTCTCTCTCTCCTCTCTCTCTCTCTCTCTCTCTCTCTCTCTCTCTCTCTCTCTCTCTCTCCTCTCTCTCTCTCTCTCTCTCTCTCTCTCTCCTCTCTCTCTCTCTCTCTCTCTCTCTCTCTCTCTCTCTCTCTCTCCTCTCTCTCTCTCTCTCTCTCTCTCTCTCTCTCTCTCTCTCTCTCTCTCTCTCTCTCTCTCTCTCTCTCTCTCTCTCTCTCTCTCTCTCTCTCTCTCTCTCTCTCCTCTCTCTCTCTCTCTCTCTCTCTCTCTCTCTCTCTCTCTCTCTCTCTCTCTCTCTCTCTCTCTCTCTCTCTCTCTCTCTCCTCTCTCTCTCTCTCTCTCTCTCTCTCTCTCTCTCTCTCTCTCTCTCTCTCTCTCTCTCTCTCTCTCTCTCTCTCTCTCTCTCTCTCTCTCTCTCTCTCTCTCTCTCTCTCTCTCTCTCTCTCTCTCTCTCTCTCTCTCTCTCTCTCTCTCTCTCTCTCTCTCTCTCTCTCTCTCTCTCTCTCTCTCTCTTCTCTCTCTCTCTCTCTCTCTCTCTCTCTCTCTCTCTCTCTCTCTCTCTCTCTCTCTCTCTCTCTCTCTCTCTCTCTCTCTCTCTCTCTCTCTCTCTCTCTCTCTCTTCTCTCTCTCTCTCTCTCTCTCTCTCTCTCTCTCTCTCTCTCTCTCTCTCTCTCTCTCTCTCTCTCTCTCTCTCTCTCTCTCTCTCTCTCTCTCTCTCTCTCTCTCTCTCTCTCTCTCTCTCTCTCTCTCTCTCTCTCTCTCTCTCTCTCTCTCTCTCTCTCTCTCTCTCTCTCTCTCTCTCTCTCTCTCTCTCTCTCTCTCTCTCTCTCTCTCTCTCTCTGCTGGAAGAAGCGGACTTATACGGATGAAGTCTTTGGTATTTTTGACGTTATTCACATTTATATTACTTAGTAAATTTTATATCAGCTTTAGGTCAGTCCGTAAGTCCTTGTTGTTTAGTTAAGCAGACCCTACACGGTAATTCATGAATGGACGTCACAAGAAGTTCCAAGATTGCCCGCTATCGCTTTGATCATGAAGACCCTTACACGTTCAATCATTGCTGATCATTACTTATCGTTGCTGATTTAGGTTAGATCGTTGCTGACCAATTTAGCGCAGTTGTAAACAAAGAAACAGCATAGATATGCTTATTTGGACATTGTCATTTATAATATTGGGCATCAAGAGAAAAACGGAGATATAATAATTACTTCCTAATGCCTGAAAATCATTTAGACCAAAGTTAGTCCAAAATATAAGTCAACTACATACAAAAATCTATGAAAAGTATTGCGAAAATAATCAATTTGTTAAGAAAAATGGAAAAATTAATGGCAAATAAACACAACAGTTAAAGATTTTTTTTCTATAAGTAAATTGTGAAGTTTCCACTTTTTTTCTCTCCAATTTATTGCCTACTTGACTATTTAAAGAAAAAATAGTTGAAAATGGTTAATAATAATATAGACTAGGGATATAAACAACTATTTACTTTTATGAAATTATTTACTTAATAACGAGACCTAGGTAAACTAACCTATCTAGTAGTAGGTTAGTCTCATAGAAAATCGTTTTGACAAAAGTTAGTAAAATATAAGTCTACTACTTACAAAAATTAAGGAAAGGTATTGCGAAAATAATAAATTTGTTGAGGAAAATGGGAAAAGAACTGATAAATATACACAACGTTAAAGTTTTTTTTTTCCTAAAGTAAATTGTGAAGTTTCCTCATTTTTTTTTTTAATTTGTTGCCCACTTGACTATTTAAAAGAAATAGTAGAAGATGGTTTAAAATTATAAACAAGGTATATGAAAAATTATTTAACTATTTACATATAATGAAAATCAGAAATTTATAATGGTTGTGAGGCCTAGGTAACCTAACTTATCCAGCAGTATGGTTATTCTCCCCACTACTTTTGTCTCAGTCCCCCCTCCACTTCTCGTGAATGAACCTTTGATTTCCAGATGTTCGGAAATCCGCAGCGCACCACCATCAGTACTTCATTCACTACCTTACACGACAATTCGGAACGTTATTAGTGCAATTCCGATTGACCGAGTAGGGTCCCCTTTATAAATAGTTAAGTTTAGATTACTCCTTAGATTCAGTTTTATTAATTATCTATAGTCTGTTGTTTATTTAGAAATTTCATTGGGCTTTTTATAGTCTGTTCTTCTAAATTGTATAAATCAATAATGAATGTTTTGATTTTGATAATTTATTAATAAAACATATGTTAGGTTGATAAAGTGGATACGTGAGGTTTTGACATGGTTACCATGGTTATAGACGTTAAGACGGCCATTATCACACTAGCATAAAATCCCGACGAATGACGAAAGTAACCGAGTATCGCCAATTAATATTAATTAATTAATTAATAGCCATTGACTTAAAATGACGGACGTTTCGTAACAACCAATATCAAGCCAATCTCATAAAGAAAAATGTTTGTCTTGATTTTAATTGATTGTTTGTTTGAGCTTTTAAACCCTAGGGTCATCAAAGTCTGCGAGTCAGTTTTATTGGTTGTATGTTGAGTTCAGAAACTCCTTAGAAGAGTTTAAAAAAATTATCAAAAAATAATAATAAATAGGAAGAATAATAAATGTAAGATATTTAAAAACATATTAAAAATGAAATATATAAAAATAAAAAATATAATAAAATAAAAATTATATTTATTTCTATGTTTTATTTAATATCCATGGATTTTAAGAAAATTTATAACTGGTGTAATGTTTGATTCGTTATTGTTTAATACTACTGATATCTGGTATTAGATATAATCTGTTTAAGCTTGAGATATAATAAGGGCATTTCTGAAAAATATGGCTGATAGTTAGATAGCTATTACAGTGTTAACATTTTGGTTGTGGCTGTAAACAGAATTTTGTGTGTACTATTTTTAACCTAGCCGCAACGACCCTCCTCTCTGTGATTTTTACGGTTTGGTGTGGTTTAAGACTTCTCTGATTTTTAATAACTTTTCATTTGCTAGATTGGCTTTCGTTCAACATAGATTTACAATCATCAGATATTTTCTTTTTGAAAGGATAACTCATTTCTGGAGGGGTCAGGATAGAAGCACCTCGGTCTGTGAGCGCGAGTGGTTGTTTGGCTGCCTCATCCGCAAGCTCATTACCAACTATTCCTCCTTCTTAACTGGTAACCCATATAAATCTTAGATATTTGTGTATTTTTAGGATAACTGGGTGTTTTGAGTACATGTCATTTAAACCTTTTAATGCACTCAAGGAGTCGGTTATCAAGACTATTGCTTTTGGAGTTAATGATATTCAGAAGTTGAGCTGAGGCTATTGCCTAAAGTTTCGCTGTATATATGCTAATTAAGTTATGAAGTTTTATTTCATGTGTCGAGTTCCATGAGATTTCAAAAAAGGGAATAGGGATCGGCAATCTGCCTTACTTCATAGACTAAACACCGATTTTTTTCAGGTTTGAAGTAGATCAAGAGTGTCCTAGTAGTGATCTTGAAACCAGCCACCATCTTGAAGGAATTAGGTACTGCTATACCACTATATTTATCTTTTAAATTCGTTATTTCTGTAATTGAAAATTGAGCTAAAATCGAAAATGTAGAGTTTTATTTTTCTGTATATTTTAGGAGGTTATTTTTATAATCTACTTTTGGCGACAGCAGATTTCCGCCGTTTGCTATAGGGGACAACTAGTTTACCTATCCGCTACCTGGCAGCGCCACATAAGCTCGTTCGTGCAATGCAGCTATTTTTTTTCTTATAGTTATGTGATAAAACACTCAAATTGTAAATTGAAAATATGTATATACATTATAAATACTTTTAATTAATAAAGTTTAATGGCGATAACATATACTGATTCAAGCTTAAAAATAACTATATTTGTAACGGCTCTTGATAGCCGATTTTGTCTTGGCGGAATGATTACTGCAGTCCTCTCAACGAATGAGAAGGTCCTCGAATCTCCACCCCTTCAGGGTGTAGACCTCTACACCGATGATCGGTATATGCCTCGCATACGCTTTTTATTCTTATTAAACTTCTCTTCTTATTTTACACTATTCATTACCTTTTATTCTCTTATCTTACTCCAAATATATTTGGACACTGATCCGTATGCTTGTAGTTCTATGTAATATGTCAGGAGATTGGCACCTCCGTTAGTATTTCATCCTCCCACAAGTCTGGAAATTGATCCCTTCGGTTATGGTTGCCATCGTTGTTGAGTGTTAAGGTTGATCCCTTACACCGCAGACCAAGAATGAGTAGGTGTTGATCCACCTGACACTCAAACTTCTACTCATCTTCCTACATCTTCCTACATTAAAAATACCCTCTATACTGAACATTGACCTTCTGGTAACTGCATATCCTCTGTACAATAGCTCGACAAACTGGAATGATTTCCATACCAATTTTGTATCCTGCTGCTGTTTTTACTATGAAATTTCCTTTTTGTCTTTTATATCCTCGTGATACAATTTCGAGTCTAATGTAATTTTTCCACTATCCGGAGTCTATAAGCCATTTCTGTTGTGCGTGATCAATATCTTAGGATAAAGGATTTGAATTTTTCAAATGTTTGGGTTGTTCTGTGGGCCTGAGTCTAAAAAAGAGTAATATGGACTTAATTTTTCAAGTTATTCTCTTAATTATTTTATTTCTATATATCTTGGGTCATCTAGTTCTATACTTAACATGGGTTATATCGGTTTGTCGCCAAATCCGCTTACTAACCTCATTGATACTTTATTTTTTCTTCACTATTATTGAATGATAATGGTTTTGATCTCGATTCTGTCCGGAGCATTCTAAATATCGTTATTGTTACCATCCGTGGCCATTTTTGGTTATTATCGTGATTCTGTTGGATATTATAATTCGATTGATTTATGAAATTATTTTGAAGTCGATACTGTAGCTATTGATAGTTCTGTTATTGGTAATTATTTGGATTATATGGTTTTCAGAATATTACCAATTATTAAATCGTTTATGGTGCTTATGCTTTTAAAATTTATTTTTGTTCATTGTTGGAAATGAATAATCTCACAGAAATCAAATGCGAAGCTAACTTTAATATTCCATGAAGTATGATCATGTAATCTCTTGTTCATCATCATGTGTTAGTTTGACAACTGTGAAGTAATGCCCGAACAAGTATAATATTAACATTAATTAATAGCTTACCTAAAGTGACGTTTTGTACTATACTAATTGTTTCATATAGAGTATCTACAGAAGAGGCTGAAGCTAACATCAAATCAATCAGTTTATCGGCGCTTTTATTGAAGCTATTACAGAAGACGTTATCAATATGCGATTTCTTCAAACCAGTATTGTATTCTTTCCTCTTCTGTTTCCATAAATCATCAGAACCTGTAACAGATATTTTTATAAATGAATCACAACAAATATTATACCAGCATATCCGTGGTAGATAATATCAATCATACACCAAATATATTTTCAAGAAAATCTATACAACAGACACAAGCGGCGTGTTTAGCCGCGTTATATATATATATATATATATATATAATTACTATAATGAAAGGCTTTGCGAATGCCGATGTCGATCACACACCTCCCTCCGTCTGTCGCCGTCTAAGCCCACTGCCTTCAAATTGGCCTTAACGGAATTTTCCCACCTTCACTTCGGTCTACCCTTCGGAAGTTTATCAGTTGGCACAGCAAATATTAACCTTTTAGGAATCCTTTTGTAACTAAGTTCAACAATTTTACAAGCCTATTTAATTGTATTGTAGGTTAATGTAATAAAGGCGATGTAATCACCTGAAATACATTAACCGGATAAAGTTCACGCAATTTAACGTTGTGTAACCGTCATACATGTCCGGTGAACTTATCTATCTTAGATACGAATATTCTATGCGATAATTTATTTTCCAAAACCTGAAGACGATGCTTACCCCTTAATGTAAGCAGCCACGTTTCGCATCCATAAAGAACTATAGGTAGGATAACGATTTCATAGATTCTCGTTTTTAATTTCCAGAATATATAGGGGGGAAAGAGCTAATTTGTTTTGTAACAAAAAAATAACAAACTTTTCCCACTTTCAGATTAACCCTAGTCTCCTCTTCTATTTCGTTCATTATATTTATCGTAGACCAGACCATAGATACCTAAACTTCTCTACATGTTCAAACATATTACCTCCTATATCGATACATGAAATTATCGCCACTTTTATAGCTAACCATATATTTTGTCTTTTAAGTGTTTATTTCGAGTCCTATTTCTTTACCGGCTTTCATTAGTGTTATATTAGGTTTTACACCCTTTTTTTGTACGCATTACCTCCCTGTACATCATTTGTACATGTTATTACATGTACTAATGCCAAATTAAACAGGACAGGTGAAGGGAATAACTTTTCATGTTTTAAACACGAACGAACCTCATACTTTTCGGATAATTAATTACCGATTCTAATTTTATTGAGTGTTTCCGTCAAGTAAATCCTGACTAGATTTTTTTTTTAAGAATCCCCTGTTCGGTTAGAATATTATTATACAGCTTCTGACGGTCAATAGAATCGTAAGTCTTTTTGAAATCCACATACAGCTGGTGATAAACACTGTTGTTCTTTAATTTTTCTCCAATATTTGTCTTACAGGAAATATTTGATCAATACTTAAACGGTTCTGTCAAAATCCGCATTGAAAGTCACCGATAATTTCCTCGGTGTAGTCTGTGATTCGGTTGGTAAGGGTTAATGTGGTATACATATATATATGCTTATATATACATTACATATATTCTATAATGTACATACATTCTGATCGGCAATCTTACAATAGAAACTGAATAGCTGTAACTTCGTTAATAGTTGTCAGAAATTAACGATTTTTATATAATTTTGTAGAGAATATCATAACCTTTCAAAAACAGCCGGGGGATACAGAGAGCTCTGAAAAGTATAGATCCGTCGAAAACCGCATATCGGAAATTTGAACAGACCGCAATACTTTCCTTATCTAGTATAGTTAAATAATAGTATTTTTTTGCGGTACGCGTTGTTGAAAAATATATTTTCATTTATTGCGCAGCCTCTATTCAGTAGTCAAAAACCATCAAAATCGGCTCACTAGTTACTGAGAAAATCTTGGCACAGACAGACAGACTAATGGCTAAAAATGTGTTTTTTGGACTCAGGGGGTTCTGAAACGTATAGATCCGTCGAAAACCGCATCTCGGAAATTTGGCCCGCAAATACTTTCCTTGCCTAGTATATGTAGGAAAATAAAAATAAAATAAAATTTCTATTCTACTTCTGAGCAAAATTGGTAATATGCTAACCAGCCATTCATAGATGACCGCTAAGGTTTAACGTAAGCCACCGATACACATGAGGGTACTTGTGAATCCGTGATCGATGGAGAACGACAAGTACCAAGGCTGATTCTGAGCAGCCATAATCCATGGATCTAAGCCGATTTGTCACTGTCCTTGAATTCAAGAAGGATACTTCCAGATTGGCGCCAAAGGTATTGGCTATGGAGCCACGGGTGTCCTGCCACTTTACTATGGAGAACGTGGTTCGTAGTAAGGTGTGGTTGATGTAACCCCCTCCAGATTTATCTATCCATGCTATACTATTTATCTATCTATTTATAATATTTATCAGACTTATCTCTGCTCCCACAAGCATTATACGTCTGTAAGGAGGAACTACGTAGGTAATCAACAGAAATAGTGGTGAAGCTTTACTGACGCCATTCAGCAGACATTCTTCGTTATATCATAATAAAATACGTAGTTATGAACTTATCCAAATAAGGAAATATATCTAGCCTACTTACGTGAGTTCGTGAAAGGCCCTTGCAGGTAGTTAAGAAACCCTCTGTACATTATGTCTGATTTATGAGACACACTGGGATGATAACCTATTTCCTGAATAAAATAAAAAAATCATAATTATAATATATTATAAACAGCTTGGAGAATATGAACTTTTAAATATTGTATTTTGATTGTGTATTAAAAAAAATTAAATAATATGTTAAATATATAATATAACAAGTATTTTAGATGATTCCTTGGCCGACTTCTTTCCAGACCATTGGAAAAAGTATCAGGAATTGAGATGGAAGCAAGGTTCGAAACAAATCGATAGAATTGTTGATCATGTAATGAGAACAGTTTTTAGGAATGATTTTGTTTGTGACATAAAATGGAGCAATATTGATTTTGGATTATAAGGATTGATATGAGAGAAATTAGGAGGTTTGGTGGAGACACAAAGCTCAATTCCGTATGTCTATATAATTATGTTAGAGCCTTTGTAATTAATTGAAAGCTAAGAGTGTTGCTTAGTAAGTGTTGAAGCAGTCGGAAAAGTCGAGGAGTTTCTTTCCGTTTCAGTCCTGTATGAGGATTCCTAGTAAGAATATTGCCCTAGTGTAGACCTCCATAGTGGATCTGTTCTGTTTTATACATACACACACACACACACACATATATATATATATATATATATATATATATATATATATATATATATATATATATATATATATATAGCATATTAGACAGATAAATTCGCTGAGAAAACTGGACTTAAAATCTCCTTCCAGCACTAGCGGATCCAGGATTTAATTTTGGATCCGCCCGTGCCTTCCAGAAGACTAAATTTATGACCACAAATCCAAACTTTAGGAAGACAGAAATAAAAACAGAATTCGGTAAAATCAAGGTGTTTAAAAGCTTTAAATACCTGGGCGAAATAATCAGCAGAAATTTATCGGAGAAAGAAAGCATAGGATTAAAAATTAGGAGAAATTATGCTACCTAACGAGTAGCATTTATAATAAAAAATGCCTCTCCAAAAAATCCAAAATCAGGCACTGCAATACAGTGGCAGAGCCAGTGATACTGTACGGAACGGAGACAATGTTCATTCCCAGTTTGGAGAAGCTGCTGAAAATAGAAAGAAGGATTCTTAGAGGAATCCATGAGCCTAAAATAACACCAGAAGGATATAGACTGAAATCCAATAAGGATATTTTAAGTGAAACCTCTGATTTATAAACGGAAATGAGGGTAGGAAGACTTAGGTTTTATGGACACATGCAAAGGATGACCGAGGAGATGTTAAACAAGAAGATTTTCAGTAGGGTTATGGGATTCAAGTTTAACCATGGATATACGGTACAAATAAAACAGGAAATACAGAGACTTGGGATAACACGGGAATTATGTGAGGATAGCACAGAATACAAGAAGTTCCTGAAAAGTGCGGTGGTGGACAGTAAGGAACTTCCGTCCAGGAGGAAGTGGACGGAGGAGAGGAAGAAAAAATTTAGCGTTATCCTCAAGCAGAGATGAGCAGAAAAGAGGAAATTGAAAAAGAAACCAGTTTCATAGTCGCGTAGTCCTTCAGGGCTGTTTCGCGTCCAATAAATAAATAAATATGTTGTAAAATCAAAGTGTTTTGTTATTATTACATTTTTTTTTTGTTTATTTCAATTTTCATATACATTACATTACTTTTTGTCTAATTCATATATATGTTGTAAAATAAGGTTGTTTTTGTTACATTTGTTTTTGTCTTTTTTAATTCCCAGAAATATGACATTTGTTTTTGTCTATTTCAATTTCCATAAATATGAATACGAAGATAGGGATTATCAGTGCTTTATCAGAATTATCAGTGTTCAGATTATTGACATTGGCAGATAGCGGATTCTAGACAAGTACCGGTCATTATTAACAGATTATACTAGTGGGGAAGGAACGGGTAATGATATATTTATATACGGGTAAGGAATTTACCCTGAACAGCAATCCTGGGTGTCAGAATAGATCGAAAGCCTGTTCAACATCGAGAAAGAAACCCGTATAGTGCATTACGCGCTCTAATGCATAACAATGACCATCACACGATGATATTACTGGATAATGGATTGGAATATATTCTAATTATAATGATGATCTGGAATTATGTGATTGAATGCTGCGGTCGGAAATTAATAAATAAATGATGATATGACAGTTCATATTATAAACATTGTAGATATTTTAATATTAAAGCTAATTCATTATAAATTAAATGATCAGAAATATATTACTTTGACGACTTGAGGACCTGAGACTATCACCGTAGGCTTAGAACCATAAGTCCAGTGGAAGCATAGGCCGTCCTTTCCATATTTTTCAGTAACATCGATCATGTCTTTTTCCATAGCTGAAAAAAGAAATATTATTTCTTCATCTAAATTTTCTATACCAGTTTACTAGAATCTTATTATTAGAATTATTTTTTAATAAGCGAGTCAATAATATAATATAGTCAGTTTATTATACATCTATTGACCACAATGTAATGTTACATATAAAAAAAGTATGGAAGTTCTGATGTTTGACTTTTCTATAAGACTTCAACAATTTAATAACAACAGTCCTTGCAAATCGGAAGGTTTAATACCGATACCATCAATCTCTTTCTAAACACCACTTTCCACCGGACGCACACTGGGATGTAATATTACAATTAAATATATATATTTTATTCATTTTCTCACGTTACAAAAATAACTATTGTTGAGAAGATTTTATTATTCACATGTTATTATTTAAATTAGTTTATATATTATTAGAATTTTTTATACTTACAAAGTACTCCGAACGATAGTCGATGTTCCTTTCTATTATCTAATGAAAATTCTACACCCTGGCCTCAACGTCCCATTTGTCCTAGACCTTATCCCAGCAAAATTCTCCAAATCCCACCAGAACCTTACCCATCATCCAAATCCCTTTGCAAAATCTCTATCAATCACCACATATCTCTACAAATCTCCAAGAAGGTTAAAACTGCAGTGGACCCGCGACCTTTTGTAGTTTGTAGATATTGGATTTCTGTCAATGGTCAGATTCTCCAGTCAAGATATGAGAGTATGTGGCTAAAGCTCTCTCGATCACTCTCCATTGGCTTAGTACCAGTGAAGTGGTTGAGAGAGTAGCGCAGGAATCTGAACCCCTTCCCTTGGTTGAAGGGGCAAGCCTGCCTCGGAGTTCCCTTGCCTGATTGTAAATAGTGTATATAGATAGTTAAATGTTTTTTAATTGACTTATCTTTAAGTTATTTTGTTTTATTTATTGTATATATTCTTTGAATTATTTTTTAGTTTTCTAAAAAAATTATTCTGTTGTTTTTTTTTGTACATATTATGTGAATGATTTTGTTTCCCTATACCTTCTGACTTCGTCTTTTTAAGTCATGATTCTTCTTCAGCAGCTTGCGGCTGTTATAGGCGACAGTAGTGATCGTTTGGTTCTCTCTCCTTCGAGATATCCAGAAATCCAGATATCCAGCATGTTGTTTACTTAATGGACGCGATCACATTTCACTCCCTCTTAATCAGGAACTTTCCTGAAGGATGGTTAACAATATTTTGCTTCAATGATCCACCCAATTTTTTTTATGCAATAGGGGATTATCAGCCGAATACCCAACCCCCAACCTGGAAGACTAGGAGCTATGGTGTGAGTTGCTCACCACGTTACCATCTCTTTTCGAGAATCCAACCCTCACCGTAGTGGTTTAAGTAGTCGAATAGGGCACCTGCACTTATTAATGTTCATTAATTACTTATTATTTCATTATTTATATTTTTGTGTATTATTAATTAACACGAACGGACTTTGAACACTTAATATGAAATTATGCAGGCGCCTTAACTCGCTCTATCATCGCACCCCCTATTGTGTGAATATGATCTTACCTCTCTATAACCATTGCCCAAGAGACAGAATGTTATTACTCAATGAATAAAAAAATTAAAATAAAGACAAGATTTTTTATTAACTTTATTTTGGCCAGATATGTATTTTTTTATTTGTTCATTATGGAATTTTTTAGTGGAATTCTTCACGGAATAGATTTATTTTTCAATTCTATTCTATGACTATATGGGTTGACTACAAATGTATGATATGAAGTTCATGGATCTAGGTCTCCAAAAAAGTGTGTAAGAGGATGTAAGAGTGAGTTGTCCAGAAAACAACTGGATAAATGTGTCCAGGAAAAGTAGGAGGGGTGAGGGAAATTAAAATAGGGCTTAAAGGAAGTTATCAATAATTGATATTTAATATGAAGCCTGAAAGGGACTTTTTGCCAAAATCTGTTATTTTCCCCTTAGTGTTATTAATAAGAAGGCATATTTTTTCTTGTCGGTGATTTTAGATAACGTTTCTAAGCTATCAGAGTTAGCCTTGTCCAAAGGGGTTATGGGAATCCTCAGTATATGATTCACCAATTGGCACAGTTAATAAACTCAATTATTAATATTAGATACTAGTGACTTCATTCTTATCACTGGTCTCTGTTTAATTTTTTATTTGGTCTCGTTATTCAGTTGTATTTTTTTAAAATTTTCTATTTAAAATGAATATAATAAGACTTTGGTAATTGCCGTCTACGAAAGAGTAAACTGTGAGAAATTCTTTCAGAAAGATAAAATAGTGTGGAGAAGATCATCAAATTTTGACAGGAAAACAAAATGGAGATGTTTTCGTAAAAGTTGCATTTCTCTAAGAAAAGGAACGTGCTTAAAGGGGTCAAGAATAACCTTTTAATGGCTTTAATGTTTATTTATGGCAGGTCTTATAATTTGAGTGTGGCAAAGAGCAGCTAAAATTATGGAACAAAACTGTGGTCGAGTGGAACAGAGCTTTGAGTCCATGCATGTTATACAGGTGAAAAAATGGAGGAGTGTAGAAAAGTCTGAAAAAGTGTAGAAAAAGTTCTTCCTGAACAATAGATGTTTGGCGGAGTTTGTCAAGAAACAGACGTTTAATGTTTAATTGTAAAAATAGAACACAGAATTTTTGTTTCCCAAAATAAATAAAATGTAAAAGTGTTTTGTTATTATTATATTTCTGTTTGTCTATTTCAATTTCCATAATCATAAATAAAAACCTAGGTAGTGTCAGTATCAGTGTTCAGGTTATAAACAAAGGCGGATCGCAGTCCGTGGCGACCGGCTAACTCACAAGTACCTAATATTATTATTATTTGTCAGGGATTGAGTCCATTGCGTAACTGTGGAATAGATTTTAATGAGGCAGAGCACACTGGGTTGAGTTGGAGTGAGGTGAAGATTCTGGCTTGAGACAGGCATGGATAGAGATTCTTTGTTGATGCCCTTTGTTCCACTGGAAGCTATAGGAGTTAAGTAAGGAATGAGTAATTAAGTGATAAATAAGTAATGAATTCCTCGTTTATCACGTTTTCCTAGTTACTACGCTCTTTTACTCTCACCCTCTGAAAAACGGTATAACAAAGCTTACTGTACATCTTTTAAAACTAATAAACCATCATGTGATTCAATGAGTAGCAAATAGTAAGTCAGAATAGTTGATTGAAACAGAAGATAATTCTAGAGTCAAATTTTTTTTGTGTAGGCCATAATGTTCACTGACCGGTTAGGTCATCACTTATAGTAAAACATGTAATCTGAAATACACGCCCTGTATAATTGGTGTAATTCGACTACCACTCGGTCACGGTAAGCGCACCGGAGAATTTTCTGTGTCCTTGCCCGAAGATAATTAATCAGGTGATTCTGAATACGCAGCCTCAATGATAGTATGATTTGCTGGGCCATTAGCGAGGGATCAACATCCTCCTCGCGCTCTCCCAAAGGTCCATGGCGCATGATCTTTCTCCCACTCCTGCCAAAATATTTTATTTTTCTCCTCTTCCTAAAATCAGAGCAAGCGAATGTAGAATTTGAAAAATCTTAGATTACAGACAATTACACATCCTCCACAATATTAAATACTTTCTTTTGATTAGGCACTTTTAATTTAGAATATTCATAATCTAAAATCCATTGAAAATATACCCCCCCCCTAAAAAAATCAAAACCCCTTCAAAATGTCACCCTCCTCCCCTCAGAAATGTTGATGGCACACCTTGCTCCATGAATCCTCTTCTGGACGTCCCTGCCATTATCATCTAGAGGTTGAAGAAGAAGAAAAAGAGAAGTAAATTTTATTTTTGGACATTTAGTCCCACATTAAGATCCCTAAGAAGAATTATAAAGAACAAAAAAGGTGACATTTGTCTGGAATTATAAGAAAATCAAAAAATAATAAATTAACATTATAATATATCCTTAAAATAAAATAAATAAAGTACAAGTAAACATATTAATTTGCACATAAATATATATGAGTGTGTTTACATATTTGTTATGATTAACAATAATGATAATATGTAACAGTAAGATAACAGTCAAATGAAGGTGACAGCTCCTGAGGAAGAAATGTTATTCTTACATCAGAAGATTGATTACTGAAGAGGTGGAAGAATAAATATTGTTTACATGAGGTTAAGGAAGAGGATTTGCATATAATTAGGCACGGAATTCCAACAAAAGGTAGCCCGCATGATAAAGGAAACGGTTCTATGAGAGGGAACAAACAGGTTTATGGACTGAGATCTCGTGTTAAAGGAATAAGCAGAGGAACAAAGCGTAAACTTATCAAGAAGGTAAGATGGATTCTTGGTTGTAAGGGTTCGGAAAAAAAATATACCTAAGAAATATTGCCGCCAGAAAACTGGGTAGAGCCACTTCAACTCGGCATAGGAACTGGAGACGTGGGAGGGCCTGGAGACTCCAAAGATGAATTGAAATTTATAATTTATGCTACAAATGCTAATATTATTACAACAATGAAATTTTAATTTGAAAACATTAATTAGCAGTATATTAAAAAATAAGAAGAGAAATAATATAAATGATAATAATAGAAGAAATTCTTAGGCGTAAAGGAAAATATATAACATTACGTAACCTTCCAACTGCAGAAATTGACATAAATATTATACCGTGGTTGGATGCAAAATAAACTAGTAAGTATCACTGATTTTTTTTTTTTATTTTAATGAAATTTACAAGTGTATTACATAGAAAATACAAGAAGTAAATGTGACATTGGTAACATGACATATACAACATGAAGAGAAACTACCCATTGGTAGAACTCAAATTAAAGTTCTATATTAGAAGGTCCCGAGGCCATCTTCTTTTCAGACGCCTCGGAGGGTTATCAGAGATCGAGAAGGAAGCAACGTTTGAAACGAGAGGATTCGGATGGTTTTGCAGTTTGTTATGGAAGGATAGGTATCTGGATTGGGCCAAATCGGAAATATATGGAACATTAAGGTCTTTATGGATGATTTTATTTGTGACAAAGTAAGGAGCGTGGAGGATTTTGGATTGTAAGGATTGGATACGAGAGAAATTCGATGGTTTAGTGGAGCCCAAAAGCTCAATTCCGTAAGTCCAAATAGGTCTTATTATTGTCATATATAGGAGTCGTTTGTAATTGATTGAAATCTTAGAGCGTTTGTCTAGTAAGTGCTGCAGCAGTTGAAAACGTCGGGCGGTTTCTAGTCGTTTCAGCCTGGTATGGGGGTTCCAAGTGAGTCGTTTGTCAAGGTGGAGTCCTAAGTATCGGATTTGTTCGACAGAGATAAGAGGGCTATTTTTGAAGGATACTGAAGGACAAGAATCACTAATTTGAATAAGTAAATTATAAATCATTAAGGACATTTTTTAGTTTGAACTTGCTTTGATGTCTATATTTTATGGAATATAACTTTGTTATTAACTTAAAAATTTCTTATTTAACGAAATTAAACTAATATTCCTGATAGCCGAATTCCAATGAGACCTATTAAAAGTCAAACCAATCGAAAGACCCAAACTGCTTTGGGCTGGTTATTTGGCAGCTGAAGAATGATTCAGAAGAATGACTGGCGACTGATACCACAAGAGACCTTGACTCGACGTTGGTAGCAGCGTCAAAAATGATGATGATTATTGTTAATATAAATTACATAGATCGATCTCATACTTACTATCCATCCATAATAAGAACAGGGTTTTGTAGAAGTAGTAGAGGTTTCCGAAAACAGGGAAACCCAGAAGCCCAGGATAAGAATATAGATTGCGCACCCTAAACCACAGTAGCAGTCCCAAGGCGAGGTGAGCCACCACAATTATAACAGCTGCTGTTATAATTATCTCCATCCTGAAAATATAATGCATCAATCTATAGATTTCTAAAATTCTTTGGAAATGTTTTTTGTCTTAGTATTTGTTTTGAAAAAAAGATTTAAATTCATAGTTTTTACCCGAATACCGCGAATTCACAAGGAACTATATATTTGGGTTTGCTCCTTGTTGATATGTAAACATTTTTTGAATGAACGGCTAAACTGATTTCTATGTTCGAAGGTTCTCCCGGCACCAGGACGTGATCTCGTAACTATTTTATACAAATTGTTTCATATAAGAAAATACTTCCTCCCACAAACTATCTCATATTACAATCATTCCTCTCTAATAGATTTTACTCTGTTCGACAAGACTCTGAAATCTCATCTATCATGTACCACTGGTTTACATAATATACACACATAACATTACCCTCTCCAGTGACACTTTGATAGCCACCTATGCTGATGACACTACTATCATCACACGTCACAATTATTCCGCACATGCTTCATATACTCTACAAAATCTCCTGCAAAGTCTGGTAAAAACTTTGGAAAATAAAATTAAATCTCAACACATAACATTATCACTACAACACGAAAACTGCCCTCCTTTTTTTTTTTTTTTTGTTCTTCCCTACCTCGCCTTTTAGGCTATACGGGATTTTCCAGGGCCGGGGGGTGAGGGCGGAGAATTTAAAATCCCCTCGGGCACCGGGACGCTAACTCGTACTTTTTATATCATCTCAAATCTCTGTTATCCGGTTGCCAGGCAACTAGCGGTGTTGTGCACACGCTTTAGCCTATTCGGCCACCCCGCCCCCCCAAAAAAATGTGGAACGCTTCACGATTTTGCGTGTCTTCCTTGCGCAGGGCCATGCTAATCTTCTCTGTATCGTTCCAATTTTAGTATATGTACCGCCGAAGCGAGTACGAAAACTGCCCTCCTGTCTATCTTGACAATACAAATATCCCCTAATCTTAAAAAGTACATTACCTAGGTCTAACATTTGACAGAAGGATGACATGGAGCCCACACATCACCGACAAGCGAAAGACATTAAATCAGCAATTTAGAATATTATATTACGTACTCGGACGTCGCTCAAAACTAGACCTAAGACGAAAACCTACTAAAACCAATTAGAGCATACGCGTTACAAATATATGGAATTGCGAAAAAACAACAACATAAATTCAGAAATTACAAATATTTCAGACTAAAACCTTCAAGACAATTAACATAACTCTCCACAAAGACTTAAGCATGCAAACCGTCACAGAACACATACAAATATATTACAAAAGGTTTCACAATAAGCTTTATGGTCACCCCAATAGACTCATCCAAGACATGGCCAATAAAAACATGCCCGATAGCATCTGCAGAAGGCTGAAAAGGAGCTGGATGAGAGATCTCCATAATTACCCATTGAAATGACCGAAGATTAAGCGCTGAGTTTTTTGTCTTCCTCATGCCTATCATTCCCTTTCTCCTAGTTTATTTGCATATAGTAATCTCATTCACAGATTGTCAGAGGACATTGATAGTTGTGAATTAAAAAATAAATACAAAAAATATATATATATATATATAAACGGTTCCCGCCTCCATCGGATCCTTAATAAACTGGATGCAGTCCACCATACAGGCATTAGAATCGCGACTGGTGCTATTCCAACAAGCCCATCCATAGTCTCTGTTCTGAGGCCGGAATACCCCCTCTTTTTTTTAGAAGGAAAAATGCAATAACCTCAGTCCTCCACTTCTGTATGTGAAACACAAAAACCTTAATAACCGACTCCTTAAGTTCATTAAAAGGTTTAAATGACTTGTACTCAAAATATCCAGTTATCCTAAAAATACTCAAATATCTTCATATTCTTGAGAATTTGAGAAAATCTGTTTGCTTTGTATGTATTCTCAGTCATATGGGAATAATTGGTAATAAGCTCGCAGATATGTCAGCCACACAAGCACTCGCGCTCCCAGGCCGACGTGTTGACATATGCCCCCTCAAAAAATGAGTTATTCTCTCAAAAAAGAAATATCGGGCGCTTGGCAATCCATGTGGAACGAAAGTCCACCTAGCAAACTAAAAGTTGTTGAAAAATCAGTGAAGCCGTAGACCACATCAATTGCAGTAGTAATTGCAGAGAGGAGGACGCTGTGAATAGATTAAGAATATATTTTCTATTTTGGAACAATAATAATGCAATCTGCCACAATAAAAATATAATTCATTTACATCTCATTATTAAACAGCAACGACAAAAATGTCAAAACTGCAATAGCCATCTGTCATATTTTTTAGGAATGCCATTATTATATTATATCTCAAGCTTAAACATATTATCCCTAAGACCGAATATATTAGTAGAATTAGACAGTAATGAATCAAACATTTATACATTTTCTTAAATTCCATAAGCTATTAAATATAATATAGAAATGTAAAGGAAGAAGATGGTCCGGGGTGCCGGTCAAAAATAGACAAAATAGTTACAATACTATTTTATATTAAAATTTGTATATATAGCAGTACTTATGCAAATAAAAATATCCACAATGAAATATAAATAAATATAGCGTCTATAATTTTTAATTTTGCTTCTCCTTTGTCTGAAAATACTTATATATGCTAAGAAGGGGGTGGTAAGGGAAAGTTATATGTTGCGCCAGATTTTTTTTAATTATATGAACTAGTGTTCGCCCAGTGATCGAAATTCGACCATAGCTATTAAAAATTTGAGAAAAACATAATTAAATTAAAAATAAATTCAATAAATAAAGAGTAAATCACGATTCAAAAATATTCATTTATTAATATTAACAAAGTTTCAATTTCAATTAAAAATCGAGCTTACACTACCTAAAATTATTCATAAGTAATACAAAATAGACTCATTCAAAATATTTAATTTCCATTTTAATTTATGTGTGTTATTATCACAATAAATTAATGTTATGATGATTAAGCATTTAAAAAAATAAATTTAAATTAGCAATTTCAACTGAGTTTAAATCCATTTTTATGCAGAAATTATCTGAAAACAATGTTCTTTTTTAATGTTCTGTTATTGTTTAGTACATAGCCTTGACCATTGCCATTGGAAATATAAATTTCAAAATTTTAATTTTAATTTTGACGTGCTCTACTTGCTGCTACATACAATTGTTAATGCGAAATTACTGGACGTCGCAATAATACACAAATTTTTCCAAAAGTTTGACCCTGCGATTCGATTATGGACATAACAAATGGAGCTATTAATAAGAACGTTATTCTTTGAAATTCGAATGGAAGTATTGTCTCAGAAAATATTAAATTAATTCTTAGAATTCAAATTCTTTTATTTAAAGTAGCTCCCGTCAGTACTACACTCTCATTCGTGTTCCATTAACTACTGCTTGTGCGGTATTTAAGTTAAGAATGAGTATAACTATAGAATTTATTTTTAAATTTAATATATGGCAACATTCAGCGATATCATCCCTTCAAATAATAGTCCCAATCACTTCATTAAATTTAAAGTTTTCGATTTATCAAAAACCGAAATAAAGGAACTCGACTTTGCAAAAGAAAAAGTACTAAATGTTTGAAATGATATCTCTGCAAAAAACAGTCCGATTTCGATGGGTTTTTTTTTATTTTTTTATTTTGTAGGGGATTCAGGAAGCTTTCAAATAAATATTGGTATTATCCAGAAAAGAATGTGTACTTTTTGACTCATTCGCAAATAAAATACTGAATTCATCATAAAAATGTATGCAGCTTGTTTTCGGGAAAGTATGTGTTATATATATAAATTATAAATGTTTTAAGGGAATATTTTAGCAAACTTTCATCAAAATCGTTAAAGCCGTATCAGAGCTACAGTCTAAAACGAATCAAGTTTTTCGGCCCCCATTTCGAAAGGAAATGCCTGATCATAATGAAACGTGTAAAAAACACTTTTAAATATTATTTCGACTTTGTGTCAAAATTTCAATGAAATCGGTGAAGAACTTTCGGAGATTAGCCGTTTTGAACAAACTACCATTTATATATTTATTTGCAAACTATTTCATATTTTTATTAATTGTTAACTCTAAACCTCGTCAAAAGCTATTAAACAAAAAAAAAAAAAAAAGAAGGAGAAAAATCGGTTATATAATAGAGGAGAAAAAGTGTCTGAACCGTTTTGTGTTTGCCTACTTATGTAATGATGATTCTACAAAAAATTATGCTAGAAAAGTTAACAAAAAATATTTTAAATAACTGTAATACATAAATAAATACATACATAATATATTTTTCTAGACTTGAAAATGGCTCGATGAGTCATTCGAAACGCCGTCATTCCAAAATAAGGATAGGAAATAAATACATTATTGCTGTTGTTCTATTGGCTTAATGAAATATAAACTGAAGTATTATATAAAACCAAAATAAAATAAAATTATATTAGGTAAATTACTATTGACATATTACCTGATTTGGTGCTATCCGAACAGCCGCTATCAAAAGACTAGATATATAGGTAAGGAAGGTACGCACAACTATGAGTAGTGGGGACAGTTTAAACTAAAGTAGTTAGTTCGGTGACTTACACTCCAATAAGTAACAATTTATCTCGTTCATAACTTGTTAAAATCACTTCTTTTTTTTTTAATCGATACAAAAATCTTTAGACGAAGTGAAAACTTCAACAAGGCGAGATTAATAATATAAAATATAAAGTATATAAAATAGCTTATTATAAAGATAATGAGATGTTGAACATTCTCGCTTACAGTATGAAGGTCCGAATTTTAGTTTGTGAGATATTTTAATCCCTGTCTTCAATAAAACTCTTTATCATTTGGTTTTCGATACTATTTTTTTCCCCTTTTCGCCTCTCTAACACGGTGCACAATGGACAATATTACAGATTTAGGTTGATAAAATTATATGGTCGATTTTAATGTTTTGCGGGGTAGCTGAGTTGGATAAAAATAGTTTAAAAAATACTACTTCAAGACTGTATATGTTATAAAATAAATCGTAA